AAAATGCTGATAAAAACATCACAATAATCCACAAGTAATCCATGTGACTCCAGTCCTGCAATTAATGTCTTGTGAAGCAAAAATAGCTTTTGATTTGTTTATTACAAACATGCAGGTTTTTGCTTCACAAGATGTTAACTGATGGACTGGAGTGATGTGGATTATTGTGATGTTTTTATCAGCTGTTTGGACTCTCATTCTGACGGCACCCATTCACTGCAGAGGATCCATTGGTGAGCAAGTGATGTAATGTTAAATTTTTCCAAATCTGTTTCAATGAAGAAACAAACTCATCTACATCTTGACTGGTCTGAAGGTGAGTAAATGTTCAGCAAATCTTAATTTTTGGGTGAACTACTCTAATGTATCCATCCAATTGGCTGTGGAACAATGGTTGAGAAATCCTGCTTTACAATTATTCATAATGAGGGTCCTAAAGTTAGTGTAAACAGAATCAAACTCTCTCAAGCATCATCTTTTAAAACAGCATGAAAGGAGTTACAAATCACTGAACACAGAGGCAAGTCAATCACAGAAGGTTGTCTAGAGAGGATGGTGAAAGAAAACTTTACCGGCCTACCCATCTTGCCCTTCTTCCCGGGAACGCCAGGTAAACCCTAGGAGAAGACAGCACAGAGAAGGAGAGCATGGAAAGACAGGTAAAAAGAGACAGAAATGACCCCCAAAAAACTGAATTAATCAATTACTGATCCCAGTAGATGCAACAGACTGTGTGAATGCTGAAAGGTCTTTAGTTTCTATTCTTCTGGACACAAAAGGGTCTCTTAGATCTCTATGAACTCTGTCCCTCTGGGCCTAAAAATAGGAGACATGATCTGGCTAATCTGCAGTAGGCCATATTCCAGCTCCCGGGAGCTTATATTGCTATTTCCACAAAGTATCGCAGGCCAGAATTTAACAGCTCAAGGTTCCTGAGCAAATATTTTGAGAACTGAGACTAACTACTGTTTTGAAGGGGGATCTCTGTGGTTTTAGTGTAGCGTGCCCCTTTCACCAGGCTTCCTATTCAAAGCAAGTGCTCTGGATTTACAAGCCACCATTATAAAGAAGAATGATACATGTAAGGCACAAGTGTGTGGGTTTTGCTCAAGTAATATTTCATATAGGGGCATCTAAAACCAAGACTATACATCTCCATTATGCCACATTGTTTTACTAAAGACTGAAGGGAACATCAGTGGACTTTTAATGCACAACTTTAATAACAGTTGTTAAAGTTACACTCAAGTTTTTATACATACATTTGGTGTGTTGTTATGTTTTTTGCTTTGTTTTCTGTGTTCAGCTTTTTCTAAAACAACTTTTTCTATATGACTGTTACGCTTAATCTGTACATCATTTTAATATTTCTATTCAAATTCAAACCATTTGCTGTGCATTTCTTTATGACTACCATAATTAGCAAAAAATTACTTTAGTGCAGAAACAACAGCAAAACTCACTCTTTCTCCGTCAAGTCCAGGAAGACCAAAGACGCCTGGGATTCCAATGAAGCCCTAAAAAAGGGGTGTGTAAGAAGACAAGAAATAAACAGAGAGACTTTAGAGTGATATGGTCTGAATATCCCTTGATAAACTGCAGATTGACTTGGAAAGGTCTTTTGAGGGTAGTGGCTGCTTGGTGAAGATCGAGGCCTTGAGGCAAGTGTATATGCCCATGGACTGCATGGTGCTGGCTTCCACGATGTAGTCCAAGGGCACATACCCTCACACCAGGGATCACACTGGCATTCAGCAGGATGGCTAAGGTTGGGTCACAAGGTTAATACAGATGAACATACGATGAAATCATGAAGAGAAAAAGACAAAGAATGATGAGTGAATGATGCATTTTATGATACAATAATAAAAAGGGCAACATGAAAATGAAATAAAATAACATGAAAAACATGAAATATTAAGTAAACAAATTAAATGAAAACAGAATTTAAAAATATTTATTACAAATACATTAATGTTAAATAAAATAAATAAATAAATAAAATAATATTAACTAGGGATGCACGATATTGGATTTTTGCCAATATCCGATATGTCGATAATTTTCAACTCAATATGGCCAATAGCCGATGCCGATACATTTCCTTTTGTTTGGAAACAACACCAAGTCTCTCCTGTACAGAGATTAACAACAAATTATTTTTTATTTTGGTTAGTTTTTAACAAAAACTTACTTTTGAGAATTAAATAAACAATGAAGTTATTTTATGATGAGAGTACTTTTTATAATGAGCTTTGAAAATAACTATACAGCAACTATAAAGCAATCCTTAACATTTTATCTGAACATTTAACATTTGTAGATGGTCTAAAGCAAAAGAGTTGTACAAATTCTGAAAATCTTTTAGAGCTCCTTGTATTTAAGTTTTCATAAAAAAAAACCCATATTACACAATAATGAATAAATCTGTATATATATATAAATAATTTAATTTACAAGTGTCTTGTTTGTGATTTTTATTCATGTAAGCTATACTTTCTGACCTTTAAATCAAACCATACTCGGGATTTTATGACATCAATTACTGCTTTATTTAATCAGAAACACAATCTTAATGTTTTTTGTGTATTTTACTTTCATTTTATTACAAGTAGACCAACAGCACCCTCTAAGTAAATAAAACAACTTACCGGACGGGCATTAGGGCCCGGGAGAGGCTGTTGCTGCTACTGCTAAACACGCTAGTAACTGTTGACTCTATCACACACTGGACACGTCATTCTGTACTTGCATTCTCAGATTAAATGCTCAAAACAGTGAATCTAATCATCATCCAGGAAATAGCTTGAATCAAGAATGACCACACTACTGATGTGATCTTATCGCTAGCACACCCTGAGCACATGTGAGTTACTCGTCTTATCGGCAAGGCATATCGGTATAATTTTTCATATGGGGCCGATGCCGATATTTGCATTTTAAGCCATTATCGGCCGATTTCGATAATGTTCCGATAATATCGTGCATACCTAATAATAACTAACTAACAAAAAAATATATGTTGGCACTAAAGGAAAGAATAAAAAGGCTTTGGGTGTACTCTGCTCCCATATACTTTACAAGACTAAACTGGTTTTAAAATGTTACAGGAATTATAATGTAAAACCCAGTTGACAGCGGTATGCTTTCAGAGCTGATGTTCTGAGGTTTTATAATGAAAACAACTCCCAATAATGGATCCTTAAATGTCTACAACTATTTCCTTTTCTGGTGCCTTTCAGAGTTTACAAACTGGAAAACAAGGTTTCAATACCAAAAATGTAGCAGCCCTTACAAACCTTCCTGAACATAAATTCTCAATCACTTTTAAGCAAATTTATAAGTGGGAGCAAACATGGAATGCAAAACATCTTATCTTAACTAAACTCAGCCAATACATGACGATTCATTTATAGCCAACACAGTCTAAACAAGTTCTTATTAAAATAATAGAAAAAAAATATATGCATAACTGTAAACTGGAAATCTATGCATATATGTGACCCTGGACCACAAAACCAGTCTTAAGTCGCTGGGGTATATTTGTAGCAATAGCCAAAAATACATTGTATGGGTCAAAGTTATAGATTTTTCTTTTATGCCAAAAATCATTAGGATATTAAGTAAGATCATGTTCCATGAAGATATTTTGTAAATTTCCTACCATAAATATACCAAAACTTAATTTTTGATTAGTAATATGCATTGCTAAGGACTTAATTTGGATAACTTTAAAGGCGATTTTCTCAATATTTATCCTAACAAACCATACATCAATGGAAAGCGTATTTATTCAGCTTTCAGATGAATCTCAATTTTGAAAAAATAACACTTAAGACTGGTTTTGTGGTCCAGGGTCACATATTTAAACAGGCAATCTAGAGAGTCGCTGTGTAATCTGTCCCTTACCCGTACGCCTTTTGGTCCCATATTTCCTATAGGCCCCGACAAGCCCTACAAAACACAAAGAATGCAATATTCTCATACCTGGAGATCGGACCAATAATAATTTTGTGATTACATAATTTAAATCAGAAAATCAATTTTATGGAGGCCAAAAAAGAGCTATGCAATATTTGCAAATATGCTCATTAAAGGTAATACACAGCAGTGGGAGAACATCTATCAAAAGCGGGAGAATCTTAATTTGCAAATGACTTTTCCAAAGATCAGGAATCAGTCATGCTTTTGGGACCCAAAAAAAAGAAGTCAATTTTCATTGCCTCTTAATTCCAAAAACAACTCTCATTTTTCAAAAATGATGTCAAAACAAGTGGTCATACTGGTGCAGCAAGCTGTTTTAGTCTCCAATACAAGCCGTGACACTTTACTATTAGTCTCGCTATACTCATATCTGTGAGTACTGTGCAAGCCAGCAGCACAACAGAAGATTTACTGCACCTGCCTGCCAGGATAACCTTTGGCACCCGGGCTTCCATCCGGTCCTCTTTCTCCCTGTAGAGAGAGGAGAATGAAAAGAATATAAGGAGGAAAAAAGTCCATTACAATAAATATGTTGTTAGCGCTGGAAGCTCTTCTTGTGGAGAGCCATAAAAAAAGGATAAAAAGCACAATGGAGAGAGAGAGGAGTGAAAGGTCTTTGTATTAAAACAACATGTTATTCTTCTGCATGTCTGTAAATAGTATTTTTTTCATGTGTTGCCATTTTTGTCAATATGACAAATGTGGAGCGTGTGTGGCCCACCACAGAATTGTGAGATTATGAAACAAAGATAAATGCATTATATATTATTTTTATACCACTATAACTCTACTTTCCAGAAATTAAATTCCAGAAATTAGAGGAAAGTCCAGATTGTCAGGTCAAGGGTCAGACAAACTGATGCTGCCAAAACTGCTTAACAATGTTTGTTTATTTTTATTATTTTTATTTTTAATACAGTCTCTTTTTAGTTTTCGTTGTGTCCATTGCTTAGTGTGTAATTTATTATGTATGCTAGTGTGGATGATTTAGAATGCATCTCAACTGAGTAGCGAAGTGTTCTGGTTAGATGAAAGATTTGTCACATGCATATTTTACTAATTTACTGTCACAAAAAAAAAACTTGCTAAAAAAACATTTTTGTGAGTCTATAGTCAGCTACTTTTTAAAAAATCCTTAAGTTTCATGAAAAAAGTACTCTTACGCTGTAAACATGCATCCCATCTTAGGTCTCAAAGGATCTGAAAAGTTCTAAATAAGAGCACAATGAAAATCATCAAGGCTACTAAACAAACAAGATAATATTCAGAGCTAAGGTGTCGTCACATTTGCTTAGTGAAATGTCACAGGCGAAATAAAGCCAAAAATAAAATATGGGAATAACGACATAAAAATCCAAGCTATTCTGCCAGCTAGCAAACTGGAACCCAAAGCAAAATTTGCATAGGGAAACTCCATCAGGTGAAATTCTTCCTCGCGTTAATTCACTTCAATATGAATGGATTTGGCCTTCAAAAGATCGCAGACCAGGCCTGGATTTTATTCTGTGTTTTGTGTGCGGCAGTCGTCCGCGAGGGGCTGCCGCTTTACTTTAATTTTGTGTTTGTTTATTTTATTAAAGTCTTTAAATGTGGGCTGGTTCCCGTCTCCTTCTTCCCGTGACTACGAACTTTGTTACATTGGTGCCGAAATCCGGGAGGAAGGAGGGACACACTGCCAGAGATCCCTCGCCGCTGTGGTGAGTTTGCGGTGCCATCGAGCATGGCGGAGCAGTCTGCCGCCATGGAAGCTCGAGGCGGTGGGCTGAAGTGAGTTGCCGGGGGGGGCGGACAAACCGCCTGGGCTGTGGAGGGATGGCTGCCGTCCGTGAGGGAGTGGAGGAGTCGCCGCCATTCGCCTGAGGCCGGAGCCTGCTGCCATCCGCCATGATGGGGAGGAGCAGAGAACAGGGGACTCCTGCTGGCTGCCCGAACCCGGAGGAGCCGTCGCCGTCCACCAGGTGGCGGAGGAGTGTCGGGCCGTCCACCGAGGGCTGTCCAGTGCCGCCGCCTGACATCGCGGAAGAGTTTACCCAGCTGTTGGAGGGCCGAGCGGCAGTGTGTCTGGGAACCGGAACAAGATATTTTTATTTTTTTTTCCTCTCTCGTCTCTGTCTCTCCTCATCCTTCCGTCTCCTTTTCTCTCGCCTCGTCTGTCTGTCCTTACCCCCAGGTACGCCGCGGCTGCCGGGGTTGGCTCCCCCAGAGGGGGGAGGAGAGCGCAGTCTCGTGAGTACCCCCCGGCCTGCGAGGGGCGATGGGGGTATGTGACGAGAGGGGTGGGGCCGAGAGCCGTGGGAACGGAGCGAGGCCGGTGGAGTAAATGCTAATGCACGACACCTGCGCCACTCACCGGTCTCGAGTCCCACGGAGGAGCTCCGGAAGGATAAAAGGAGAAGTGACGACAGTGTTGGACGAGAGAGGACCAGGCCTGAATTTTATTTTGTGTTTTGTGTGCGGCAGTCATCCGCGAAGGTACTTTCATTTTGTGTTTGTTTATTTTATTAAAGTCTTTAAATGTTTGCCGGTTCCCGCCTCCTTAGGATTGTTCTGTAATATGATCCCTGGAGTGTATTTTGATAAAAAAATTTAAAGATAATAGTTTTAGTAATCCTCTAGTTGTATAAATTCCTTTAATTCTCCTCCCGTGGAAAGTAAAAAAAAAAAAGTAATGAATGGGAACTCACTTGATCTCCAGGGTGGCCAGAGGGACCAGGATGGCCTTTCTGTCCCTAAACGGAGAGAAAGAGTGATTAAGTGTTGCAAAAGGATATAAATACCCCCATTTATAGTTTGTCAGACAAGAGGAGGTAAATTACAGCAAGGATAATGTATCTTTAGAGACGTCACTTCTCAAACATGGGGGGGGGGGTATCCACGTACAGAGCCAAAAGAAATTCTATCATAATCTCTGAACTTTAGTAATTCTAAAGGAACTTAATAATTTCCCACAAACACCTAATGACCATAAGCTAACATTATGTTCTCATTACACAAATAACGTCTTTTTTTTCCGCATTCAGTGTGTCTGCCAATGAGTCACAGGAACAAAGTGAAACCAGCATGTACAATACCAGTGGTTTACAAATGTTCCCAGGATGGAGGGATGGAAAAGTAATAAATGTAGAGAAACATAACAGGTCTCAAAGCACACATCAACAGATTCCACTCCAACAGTAAACCACTTCCGAACTACCAACTCATTAACGGCTGAGTAGACGCTTAAACTGTCTGGGGACAGGCCAATTAGCTCTCATATCAGCCCACAATGAGGGGAAGACAGCATTTTATGCGGTAACACTTTAGATTACAGCTCGCAAATTAAAGCGCAAGTAAACAGAATTAACAGTGTACCTTTTTTGTAATTATAGTGTACCTATACATTACCTCCGTGTAGGTATAAGAGATCAATATGCAAAGTTTGGGGAATAAAGAGGGAACAACCTGGAAAATTACAAATTATTTATACTGTAAGTATTTTGAAATTAAGTGGTACCTTACCTTATTAGGTACTTCTAATATTACGTGGTATGTATGACCTACTATGCTAAACAACAATCTTACATTTGGGAGTGATTTAGCAAGAAGATACAGAGTGTATTATATTATAGGCCTAGGTATTTTTTAACCACGGGGTACATATTCTATTATTAAAGGATACATGATGGAGATTACTGAACAACAAAACTGAAAGTCTAGGGAAATGAGTTAATGAGTTTCTGCTATGATTTATAATTCACCATGTAGTGTACTTACCTTATGATTGCATATTGTATTTGTCAATCTCAGCTGAGTCACACCAGCAACTTCCCAAACAGCACTATCACCAAATAACTACTTCTGATGTTCAGTTTGCATGGCATTGTATACATTGCATTGCACAAGGTGAAATACAACATGATATAACACTTGTATTTCAGTGGATAAACTGTATACTGTGATATGTTTTTATAGCAAAAAAATAAATAAAAATTAGAGGATTTAATTTGGTCATCAAACTAAATTAAATTAAATTAAAACTATTGCAACATTTTTTGCTGTAATTACTGTGCAAATGTACACTTGTTCTGTGCTTAAGTCCAACTTGTTCCCCCCCCCTTGTTCCATTTGTAATTTTCCAGGTTATTACTTCTTTATTCACTAAATGTTGCAGATTGTTCCTTTATACCTACACGGAGGTACTGTATAGGTACACTATTATTACAAACAGGTACGCTGTAAATTCAGTTTACTTACATTGTAAATTGTGGGCTGTTATCTAAAAAATTACCTTTTATGCTTATGTGGTAGCAATAACTCTTCATGTATTATTTTTATGAGAGTTTACCACACTACTTAATATATATTAATATTAATAATTTATTTTAAAACACAAGCTCTGTCATATTCTGTGATTGTCACTGAAGAGCGCGAGCCCTCACACGTTGCGCTGGTAAACAGGACAGAACCGAATGAAGATATAATTAATGTTCTTAATGACATTTTAGTGTAACAACATTATTAAAGATAAAAGGAGTCTGACTCAACGAGGAATATTAGAAAGCCAAGTCCTGACTCTGACGAAAGGAGGAGTTGGGGATGGAGGAGGGTAATTTGCTCCAGAGCAAGCAATAAAGCTGCTGAATAATACTGAATAGACCTTATATTAAAATGCCGTGATCGGTATTGTATTCTAGGTAGACGTGAATCAGCTGAGAGTCAGCTGATGCAAGCTTGACTCACGTGACCTGCCAGAACTAACACTATGCTTTCTGTTAGGACCATTATCGTCAAAATAATTGATACTTTGCATACAGTTTGATTGTGATTTGACAACAGATAAACAAGATAAGACAACTATCTGAAGTTTAGCTACAAGTTTATTAAAAATTCACATTTTAATTATACTGTCAGATGAACAAATAAACATTTACTTGAACTGTAGCTTCAAGTTTACTAAAACTTAACATTTTAATTTTATTGTAAGTTGGACAATTAAGAGTCAAATAACTGAGTATTGAAATTAGTGAGGGTTTTCTAGTAAAGTGCAGATGTAATGTAGATGTAAGCAATGGCTCCACCATAACAAGAATAGCAATGTGCAGTGAGACATTTAAGATTATTTACAAGGCATTAATTTTTCAAATAGCTGTAATGGAATTAAAAAATATATATAAATGTTGATACGAATATTTTCTAGTAATCTATTAGTCTACATTTACATTGCGTGAATCGATTTTACCATATTTTTGTCCTGTGCTGTCAACTGTAGCTTTAGAGTGAATCACACATGTATATGTAGATGTCTTCCAAAACTTTGCTGCGTGTAATTGGCCGCAAAGTTGTCTACACTGCATAATGAATCTCTTACTTACATCGTGTCGTTGTTTGTTAATGAGGCAGGATTCGCGAGAGCGAGCATAACTCCGCACTGAACAAAAACTTCTGCGTTTTTGAGCTGCAAATACCTCTGATTGGCCATTGCGTTCAAGAGATCAACAAACATTCCTGTGATTAGCTACATTTCTCAACCCTGCAAAAACATGCTGTGAATAGGAACATTTCACGTTCTCCAGAGATCAAACTCAAAAACGCAATGGAGCATTTGCTAAATCTGTTTCGCCAATAATATTATATCATTAGAATATCAACTGATGGTGCTCTTGCTTTAGTTTCAGGGTGTTTATATTTAAAATGGACTTTGTGAGGTTTTTTTTAACCAAAGTTTTTATTATTATTTTTATTTTTTAATTATGTGATCAAATATTAATTCGCGGACCCCTGGTTGAAGACCCTTGATGTACATTATATTCGGATTTGGAATGACTTAGGGTGACTTCACTTTTGGGTGAAAACTATTACTTTAAGAAGAACAAATGAAGAAACAATTAACAAAAACAATTCACTGCAAAACAAATCGGAATCCACCTATGAAGCTCTTCAATTGGATCAGTGGTCTAACGCAAGAGAAACATTCATGGCACTCATTCATCAATATGTTACGGTACCACATCAAGAACCTTTCCTTCTATGAAAATTTATAGGGACTGTAAATGAAATGAAGACATCATCGACACCTTCACAATGAGTGAAAAATCATGTGGTGTTATGTGTCTTGGCTGGGTAATTGGCAGTAACCTTTGGGATTACAATAACAGAGCGGAAATGTCTATTGACTAGAATTCAGGAGGAGGAATGGAAATTCTATGGCAAGGTTCAGCTTTCACTAAAATAAGATGTAAATTGGCCAGAGTGAGTAACAATCACACCCTCATGCATTATACTGTTGTTTTTTAAATAATATTTTTAATCTGCAAGGATTCATTAAATTAATCAAAAGTGGCAATGTTAAATCTTTACTGTCACAAAAGATTTCTATTTCAAATAAATGCTATTCTTTTGAACTTTCCATTCATTAAAGAATCCAAACAAACATTTTTCACCCTTTTCACAAAAATATTAATCAATCAATATTCATTTTAAGTGTGGTTTCGGTATCCAAATAGATTTTGTGGCTACTGTTTGTGATTTAGAGCAAACACTCTTCCCGCAGCTACTGTGCCAGTGCCAACTGTTCCATCAACAGTTTTCTGTGTTTATCTGTGCCTGCTGGGGCAAATCTCTTTACAAAACACTGCTCACAGAAACCTAATTTGTGAGGACTCTTCTGAGTAAACAAAGCAAATCATAGTTTGGCACAAGCGATCAAAGACAGGTTAAATGCATACAACTCGGGCTTGTGATCGCCACACTGGAACTGAGTGCTCTGCTGTGGAGGACAATGAACAATGCCCTCCATCCTCCTAAACTATGGAAATATATTACATAAAGGGAAAGAAGCCACAAATGTAGAGTCAGAGAAGGAAAGAGGACCAGTCTTCATTGCAATGAACAAGAGAATGTGTCTTGCCATTGGTGCTTATGCTTGTGCCATGCATAAACAGAGAACAAATAAATCCCAGATGTGTGAGCTAAAAGGACCTTAATAAAAGGAAGCAATTGTTTAGCCTGTGCATGTATGATTGTGTATGCGTATGGTGGACTTTTAAATTCAGAGGATAAAGCCTCCCTTCTGTGTTTGCCTTTTTTCCTAATGTATTTTATGTCGTCATATTTTCATTTGATTAAAGCAGCTTGGAACACTATTTTACCTTTTATACTATCATAAGTTATCACCAATAGTTTTGTATAATTACAATCCGTAACAGTCTCAAGTTTTTTTAACATTGCAAAAGCATTTTTTAATTTTTTTAAAAGAAAAATAATAACTTCAGTAACATATTGACAAGCGTTTTTTGTTATTATTTTCTTTCTTGCTACTTTTTTCTTACTTTTCTTTCTAACCCTAAAACACAATGCCATGAAGTGGAAAAAATACAGGCAAAACACCTGTAAAAACTAAATATGTATATGTTCGGCATAAAATGAAAATTCACCTTTTTCATCTTCCTGTAAAAAGACACACTGGTGTCAAAAATCGTTTTCAATCTTTTTCAATCATCCGTTTCACTTGGATGTACGTGACAATATGGAAGAAAATATCTTATACTTCTGTTACATTGTGACTTCAGCAGAATTTTTTGATGAGGTACTGCACTTTCCCTTACATGCACAAAAATGTTTACATAAATACAGCATTTTACACATTTGTACATGTGTTCAAAATCACCCACTTGTTAATTCATTCACAATTTACAGCATAATGAAAGCCACATACAGTAGTTAGTAAGTGAGTGTGCATGAGTGAATGTGG